GAGGGAGTGGGAGTGGGAGGGAGAGCCTGAAAGACAAGAAAGCGCATAAAAAATTGTTATCTTTTTGAAGTGCTCTAATCGCATTTGACTTTGGTTCTTTAGCACGCATACGAGTATGACTTACAGACTTGTAAGCAGCTCTGTTCACACATGTACAAGTATTCGTACGAGAGCATGTGTGTGTACTTGTGTGTGGGTGTGTCTGGCTTCTTTTCTTAGGCTTAGGTCCTTTTTAATTTCTTTCATATACATACAGCCGCATAAATATGCTTAGCAGGCAACATTGCCACAATAACTAAGCCTGTACACCTGTGAGTCCTGCTGCTGCTGCTGCTCCTCCTCCACCTCCTCCTCCTCCTCCTCCTCCTCCTGCCAGCAAATGTACCGTGAAGGAACCATTTAGGATTAGTTTAATATGTTACCAAAAAAAAAAAAAAAGAAGAGAAAGAATGAAGAAGATAACGCTGCTGGAATACGCAAACAGTACTTAAAAATGGCAAAGCAGCAGCAGCAACAAAATGTGGACAACTTAAACATACCCTCACACACCCACACCCACAGCCACACGCACACGCACACGCACACACACACACACACACACACACACACACACACGCATATACGGGACGGACGACAAACATGGCACAAGGACAATAATATTAGCAAAGAATGAGACGACGAACAAACTTGAGAGAGAGAGCCGGAAGACAGCGGACTGAGGAACAAAATAGACAGAATGGAAGTGTGGGCGGGCAAGCAAAATATTGGTAAGATAAAGCCAAGGCGGCAGCACAAAGTGAGCGCCATCACCAGCAACAACAACAACAACAATAGCAACAACAACAAAACTAAAAGAGCAACAAAAAATGACAAATTTGCAAATGTTAAGACGAAAAGAAAACATCAACATAAGTTATAGGCTTAGTGCGTAATCGTTTTTCGTCGACTCGACAAGGAGGGCCGCCAACACAGTCTCCGCTTCCAGCTAAGAGAGCTTCAACGATATTTGCGGTTAAGCCATTTGGCCAAGTGGTTGGCAGCATGCATTCGGGCCTTTGCTCGGCACCAAGATGGCCAGCAGGTGAGCAATGCCTCGACAACTAGACACACTCCGCCCGCTCGGCAATTCGATTGTGAATCCAAGTGGCTCGTTTGGCAAGGACCTTATCCAATCCTTGCCACTAACCAATCAATTGAGTTCTGGGGCTGCATCTCTAAATGAGGGTTGAAATTAAATTCTGATAGCAATAGAATGACGATAATACATATCCCCTCTACCTATTTAACAGACTTCCACATTCGACGCATCACAACGAATTATCGAATTGCTGATTTGAGTTTTCAGTTAAGAGATAATTGGATAATGAAAACGCAGAAAAGTCCAAGAAAAATGTGTAACCAACTCTTTCTTGAGCACGATAAACCAAGTTTCAATTTAATTCGTCTTAAAAAAACTGAAAAATGCGAGCCTGAATCGCAAATACTTTTAAGACTTAACTTTAGCAAGCTGTTTGTAGTTTTAGGAAAGTCGTTTTTTTTTTTGAGTGTATATATCTTTCGACTAATTAAAATAACAACAACTACATACTCGTATTTAGGCAGTCAGTTGCGATCTTATCTAAGCTTAAGTGGAATTGGCTAGCTTTTGAAATTGTGTTTTTTAATCTCATGTTTACTTTGTTTTATATAAGCACATATATTACAGATATTACTACCGATAAGGGAGCATTAGGTTTGGAGCTATGGTGCTCATGTTCATGAACTCAAAAGATAGAAATCAAACAGTAAGTTTGTTCAGCAATTCCAACTCCATTAGGAATATACATACATAGTTTATTCTTAATCATCAAATCAAAAAACACAATTTCGTTTTCTTTCTGCCACCATAGAATACTGCAATTATTAAATTATAAGGCTTTACTTAAAATTCCATGCAAATCAGTTTTGGGCGCAACCATTTAATTCAGTACTATGCTTCTCCAAACTGTTCTTTTTCTTCATCTTTTAGGGGCTTCCCAGTCTGAATTATAGAAACTTGAATGACGTCATACCAAATAAAACAGTTCAGATCAGAATTCCCAGATAGAGCTTTTAAGAATTTAGAGAGTCTAGTGCATTAATTTATTCGAATTTTTCATGTCGTACTAGGAACAAATAAAGAAATAAATAAATAAATAAATAAAAAATTAAGAAAAGATATCGCCCAGTTAAAAGAAAGGTTTGGAGTCTGGGAATGGGGTACAGCGAATTACTTGACTATAGCATACTCTTTTGCTAAAAATTGTAGTCCAAGAGTCATACTGATTGTGTGATTATTTTATATTTTCAATCGTAGAACTATCGGACTATTCATTAACTCTTTATTATTGCGCTCTGTTTAAACTATTTTTGAAGGGACCATTAGAAAAGGGCGATAATTGACATTCGCATTAAGCTGCTCAAAAGTAAGTAGGTGAGTTATAATTTATTTAATTTATAATATTTATTTCTAAGAGCGAAGCTTACCACTTGGGGCACCAGTCACTAGTAGATCCTAAGTAGCTGAAATAGATAATGCAACTATCACTTAAATACGATTGTTTAAGTTGTTTTGAAAACTGATAAATCATTTGAAATGTTTTGCAGTTTTTGATAGTTCCAATACAGCTTAAGATAATGGGCATACTCGTTTAATGGATTCACTTTTAGTTTATTTCGCAGCTTATACTTATTCGGTAGTTGATTCCAAGGACAAACAACAATCAGAATTTAAGGCATGATGCGTGATATGGACAAGTAAAGTCTTCACAACTGAAGAACTTGTTACTTACGAGCAAAAAGCCCTACAATTTCGTCTCTATCTTTGTCACTCGGGGACAACTGAGATCGGAAGCAGCACCTCTAAGCTCTGGGACTACGCCATAATTTGTCGCACGCTCCTTGGCCAAAGGGAGTGACCAGCGTTGTCTTCGCACCGCCCTAGTCGATGGCGTGGCGACCTATGTGGATGCCGCTGTTCAAATTAAAAATTCATAAAAGCAAAAATGTGAAATTATTATGATAAAATAAACACACACACACACACACAAAAGCGAGCAGAAAAAACCCAGCACCAGCAGCGATGAAATAGCAAACGGCACGACAGCGACTGATAGAGTGGAGTGGGCGGTGTCTAGGGGAGGGGGGCGGGGGCGTGTAGGCTATCGCGCGACATTTGGCAAGCTACTGCTAAGAAAAGCTAAGACCCAAGACGTGCGTGGCGTGGCTTGATGGGCGGGAGCGGCCAGTGGGGCGGCTGTTGGGCTGCTGGTCCATGAGTGGGTCCGTTTGGGGGAGCCACAGCCGAACGCTGATGATGTGGATAAAATAAACAGAGGAGCAGGACACTGGCGTTGTGGTGGAGGGGGGTGGGGGGGAGTTGGATGGTTGGATTTTGCGGGTTGGGTGGTCGTTGGTGCGCTGGCGCTGAGCAAAACAGACGAAAGCGTGTTTAAACATTAAAAGGACCATTAGATACGCCTTAAAGTATGCTTCAAGTAGATTATCTTCCATCAGTTTTGTTTGCTTACTTGGAATTGTTTCGCTTCATTTTTCTCGTTTGCAAACACACACACACACACACAATATATATATTTATATATATATATATATATATATATATATATACGCGTACAGAGAACTATGTATTTTGCCATGGTCTATTTTCTTTCTCTCGCTTGGTCGCTCGGTTTTCCTTACCAAGAAAAGCATCTTTTGGCGGCCATAGATTTACAGCCAGGCAGCCGGCGTTATTATAAATTGTGCGCGTGTCCTTGTAAAATAACATCAACTGAACTCAGACTCTCACACTTTGCAGGCCAGCCCCTCCCCCTTCGTCCGCCCCCACTCCCACCCATCTCATATTCTCGCTGTCCAGTCGTGGTCGCTGATGTCGTTGCATCGCTCCTTAAATTACCGAGCACGCGTTCTGCGAATCTTATTGCTCTTGTCGTTGGGCGGGGAGGACGCGCTAATAAATGGATAGAAAGAGAAAGCGACGGCGTGGACAGAGGTTGGAGGAATCTGGTAAGGCACGGTGGGATGATGGCGACGAAGTGAAGACGGGATTTTGGAAGCGATATGACCGATTTTTTAACATATGCACATATATTCTATAGGTTCCTGGAATCCCACAAATATTTCTTAGATAAACAGAGGGACAGTCCGAATATTTGTTCATAGAATTATTTGAATTTATTTCTAATCTCCATATTGAATGGGTGTCGATTTTCTCGATTTTCTCTCCCAGAGAGACCGAGAAAGAGAGCCAGAGAGAGAGAAAGAGAGAGAGATGGCTGGTTTATATTGAAGATCTCCACAAAGAAACTATTAATACCTGTAAACATCGAAGCAGAAAGAAAGGAAAATTAAAAAAATGTATTTTTAAAAACATGTCTATTGTTCCAAATGTATTTTCTTCATATTCATTATCTTTAAAAAGTGTTAGGCAGGCAGAGAAAGCCTCACAGACAATAATAGAGAGTTTGTTGAGAAACAGAGGGAAGCCATAAATAAAAAAAGCAGAGATTGTACAGGGAATAAAAGTGTATATGTAAAATATAATATTGGATAGATTCTGGAAAGCAGAAAAGTAGATTCTAGGAAGAAGAAAAGTAAGAAAAAAGTTGGAAAACGAAAGAGAAAAGTATGGTATGATGTGAAGGAAAAATCTCATAATACATATCCTTTTCTATTCCTGTTCATACTTTAATGCTCTCTCTCTCTCTCTTTCAAATTATCGCAAGTGTCGCAAGTCATCCTTGATTAATGATATCGCATTTGGATTCAATTAGAGTATTGCCGTTGCCGGCTTGCAATGCTTATCGCAGCCAGCTTCCTTATCACAATTCTCCCATCGCCGACCACTTAGTCAATTGCATTGCAATGCCGTTGAAGGTCTTTAGCATACGAGTACACGCATTGATGGCCACATCATCGGCCAGCCAGTAGCCTTAGGAGCGTCGCCAAATATCGTTCGTCACATGCATTTGGCTCTGGTCTCCCTATACGCCTGCCTGGGCTTAGTCTCTGCCCTGGCGCCCTTGTCGGACAGCGATGAGGTGGCAGCACTACAGCTGGCAAGTGCAGCAGTGGATGCGGCACGAAGGCACATTGTCCGCTGCACCACCACGCTGGTCATCATGGATCACTGTGAGCTTTGTACGAGCAGGCAGCGCAGCCGGCAGACCCAGCTTCTCGACTACGTACTGAAACAGACCGTCCAGAGTCTGGCACTTCAGCTATTTGTGGGAACACTCGATGAACAGCCCTGGGACTACAGTTTGTTCATTGTCAATAAGCCGCGTGCCTTTGAGTGAGTAAATAGGGGCTTGTTGCCACAATTATTGACAAAGCTGGTACTTGTCTAAAGAATTATTATCTAGAGTTCAGGGTACATTTTAAGTTTTCACTCATCATTAATTCGAAATAGGCCCCACAATGCCGCATTTACAATCTACTTGTAGATTTTTTCAATTTGCAATTTGAGCCTTAATTTTAGTTCTAGCCCATTCAGAATTCCTTAGCACTTAACAATTTAACTTAATTTTTTATGTTTGAAAAATCTCGTGGCCTACCCCGGCTTCGCAAGGGTAGCACGTTCGTTTTGAGTTCATTTTAAACCATGAATTAAATTTACGTGTTGTACTTAAAAATAATTTCGAATCGTCTGATTCTGCAATACGAAATTTTAATGGACCTGGTGATACAGATTCAATGCACTGCTTTATTATAGCAACAGACAAATAAATAAAAAAGTACAAACTTAATTCAATTCAATGAGCGGATAGTCAATTGTGAAATAAAGGCTGAACGATTTAAATCAACACTTGAAATATTTCTTCTTGTGCGTCGACGACTATTTTGTCGTTGATCTGTGAGATAAACTCTACGATTTCTCCTTTCTAATCTAGCCTTTTCACGACCTCTCTTTACTCTTGTGTTTGATAAGAACGATGCAGGGCTCTACAAATATTTTGTGCCACACCAACGCGGCGCTCTTTTCGTGCAATTTGACGTTCTTCATCAGTTAATTGATTCGCAATATTCCGCAGCCTATTTGTTATATATATATATATAGATAGATATATAGATAGATAGATAGATAGATAGATAGATAGATAGAAGATTTTTACTATATTTTATATATAGAAAATATCTATAGGATTGCACTTAAATCAATGTAACTGTACAAAATACAAACTATTTACATTACTTTCAAATTAGTATAGAAATGAAATATGCTTGAAGATTAAGATTTAATTTAATCCTGTGGGTGATACAATTTCAAATGTTTAAAGCATACTTGCAGGCGCACACATCTTCTAAACTAGTGATTGCTTTGGAATTAGCTTTCATAATAGTAGATACTTGTATATAGGTACAATTCTATTTTACCACCCCTCTCCATTCATCTCAAATTTCCGCTAGTGAGCTGCGCTTCAGCCTGCCAAACACGTTGCACGAACGCGAATTCTACTTCCTGGTCGTGCTCACGGAACGTCTGTGGAGCCTGGCCGACGTGCAGCACATTTTCGCGACCAGTCTGCAGTTTAATGTGATCAACGTTGTGGTGATGGTGCAGCGGGAAGACGGTCAGATTATACTCTACAAGCATCGCATCTTCAGACCGGACTGTAAGCACGTAATCGACGTGATGGAGTTCAACAGATACGACCCCGAAACTGGACGCTTCCAGAATGATGTGCTCTTTCCGGCGCACTTCCGTGATTTCCACTTTTGTGCTCTGAATGTCAGCGCCCAACAGCTGCCCCCGCATTTCATGTATCGAGGGAAGAGCTCTGGTGGGCTCCTGGACGAAAGCGATCTGCGCCGCATCAGTGGCATCGATGGCGAGCTGCTGCGTCTGTTGGCCAAAAAGATGCGCTTTCGCATACGTCTGTATGTGCCGAGCCGTCGGAGCGAGATCTGGAGTGCGGGAAACTACAGCGGTTGCTTTGCGCAGGTAATTTTTTTGTTCTTATTGAGAATACCATAAGCAGGAAATACAGCACAAATTTCGAAAGTAAGTCCAGCTTTTCAGCCAATAGTTGAAACAGTTTTCATAAGTGTTCCACTGCAAGAAATTGTTAGAAGCAGAACTGCAGATGAAGCCCATTTTTTAATACAAACTTTTAGGAGGAGACCTATCACAATATTCAGGATATTTAGAATTTGAAATTAATTAATTGAAAATAATGATTGGCTCTTTGTCCGAAGCTCATTTTTGCACCGATAACACAAACATACTGACACTTAAAACGCAATAACTTCACTTCCAATCGAAGAAATGTCATGAAATTCTCACTGGACAATCATTAAAGATAGCAGATTCTAACGCACCAGTCGACATATAGATGGCGCCACCAGGGGGCGCTAGATTCAGAAAGTCCTGTTTACTTTGGAAAGCTCCTTGTATATAACCTACATTCACAAATTCTTCATATTCCAAGTCGCTGAGCTCGAATCTAAACTTAAGTGCATCATTGCTTGAGAAAGATAAAGGAAGGCAGACAATTAAGATGAAACTATGATTAGAAAATAATATAAATTTGAAAAAATGTGCATGGAAAAAAGGTTTTATTTTTCTTTCTATAACTTTTCTTAACTTCTTTGCAGCTGGCATCTGGTGTGGCTAACATGGCCATAGGTGGCTTAAGTGGATCTGATCGGAACCGTCAATATTTCTCACTCTCGGCCGTCTATCAACTGAACTATCTGGTCTTTGTGGTGGCCAACGACAAGGACATTCCCCAGGTGGCTCATCTCTTATGTCCTTTTCGCAACCGAGTGTGGAACTTACTGTTGCTGTTGCTGCTGGCAGTGCTCTTGGCAACGCCCTGGCTACGCGCCTATCTCCCGCATCCCGTCGAGAGCTTGCTCGCCTCTACCTTTGGCAACCCAATAGGTGTTCACCGGCTCAGTGGAAGGATCAGTGTTCGCTACCTGCTGGCCAGCTGGCTGCTATTCACGCTGGTGCTGCGGAGCGCCTATCAGGGCAAGATGTTCGATGTTTTGCGCGTGTCACGACCCAAGCCATTGCCCAACGGACTGGGGGATCTACTGGCGCAAAACTATACGCTAGTGAGCGGAGTATTTTTTGATTTCTATCCGGAATCACGAACTCGTCTCGTGCCCGGAAAATTTAGTGTGCGCTTTAAGCTCGTGCAGAGGGCCAAGCGGGAGGATAGGATCGCCACGATATCGTTGATCAATAATCTGGCGCATTGGAATATGGAGAATTGGGACAGTAGTCGTTTGGTGCGTCTCCACGAGCCCGTCTACGTGTATCAGGTGGTGCTCTATTTTCCGAAGCACTCGATATTCAAGTTCGTCTTTGATCGCAAGATCGAACAATTGGAGGGTTCGGGCATACTAAATCATCTGGAGCAGCGTTTTGTGCAGGGACATCGCTTCATCGACATGAATGCGAGAGAGCGTCAGAATCCTTGCATCACCAACGATATGCTGCATGGCTTATATTTCTGCCATTTCTCGTTACTGCTGCTGGCCAGTCTCCTCTTTCTTCTCGAGCTGGTCTCCGTGCGCAGCCCACTGTTACATAGCCTGCTGCGGAGGCTCTGAACGGGGCCTATCAATACACATATATGTACATATGCACATATATATACATACATACATATATATATATATATATACTTGTATATATAGCTGCTGAGCAGACGTGTCAAATGCTTCGCATGTCTTTGGCACACTTTGCAGGGATTTGTCTGTTGTTTGAACCACAATGAATGGCCAGCGACGTGGCATTAAAAATTGATTTAAGAGATGTAAAGTGCCTCTACCGCCAGCTACCCCTACCACTCCCCATGCCCCTATCCCTATCCCTCCACCACCACCCAGCAGCACCATCGACACCATCACCACTAGCATGTGTGAACGTGCGGCTCACAGTTTTGGACGCTAGTTGGCTGCCAACGCCTCATGGAGTGGGCAGTGGATGGATGGAATCAGAGGACGAGTGGATGTTTGATGTTTCAAGTGTGGCCAACTGGCCGAGCAGCACGGCCCGGCACTTGAGTTAAGCTGCGCAAACGTTTGCATAATCACGTTCCAATTTAAATTGCTCTATTTGCTGGCCAGACCGATAGTCAGATAGACAGACACTCGGTCGGTTGACCGTCCCTTTGCCTGATGGGTGCTACTGAATGTTGAATGTTGACTGATTCTTGCTGCCTGCTGCCTGATGCCCGATTCCTGATGCATGTGGCGCCCGCCGCCTCTAGTACTTGTATGCATGGCTAGTACGCGTACATTGGAAAATAAAGAAAGAAAACTATTTTGTGCAAGAAAGTAGTGCAAATGAAAGGACAACCTATATTAGCTGTCATTGCTCGAGCCGCCCCATTGTTTGCCGAGTGTGTCGAACTATCTGAGCGCTAGCTACTATTCCATATGGAGAGTACTCGTATAGTTAATGGCACGTACACAGCATGGCGCATCACAGTGCACCCCAATACAGCTGCTGTATAGTGTAGTTTTTTCTTTTTTTTTTCACTGTAAAATCAACACAGTGCGCTTGTGTTTGTTTGCATTACAACAACAACTAAGTAAGTTTGGATCCTGTGCTCAATTAATAGCTGTAGAAGCACGAACCACCAGCCAACACTTTTATTTTTGTGCAAGCAACAACTGCCAGCTTGTTGGCAGCTCCTCCCGTGGCTAATATATCTAAACCTCGAAGAACAGGGGCTTCTTCTAAAACCTAAAACCTCCTATAGTTTCTTCGGGAAAGATTGGACATGAGTTCAGGCAGCAAAAGCGAGCTCGTTCTTTGCCCGTCAACTTACAGCCTTCTGGCCTATCTTCGCAGCCAACCTCAAGCTCGACTACAAAAAACTAGGAGCACGTCCATTTCCGATTAATATTCTATGTATGCTAATGTTAGGGTTATTGTGTCCAAGCGCAGTAGCTTATTTCTTAGTATGGTCTCTATTGACGTGGTTAAGTCCCACGATTTCTGATAACGAAATTTTATCAGATAATTTTTGTTGGCTTGAAACTGAGCTTAAAAAAAAGAAATCTTAAGCATTTTTATTTTTTGACATTTTTCAATTGCTACAAGATATATTTATTTAAGTGTACAATTAGTTTTCAATGATGGCCACGTCTGATTTGCTTTCTAGATATAACTATTTCGAAATAACTGTGACGGGATACATGCTCGCAATAATTTAATTTCGTTTTCGTAAGCTCAATAAGCTTCTATAAATTGTCAATTAATTCCAAATTTAATGCTTCACTTTTTATGTCTATCGCTTGTACTTGGGTTGTGGGAGTTCGGGGCTAGTTCCATATATTGGCGTTCTCATTGCGAACTACCGGAGAGCCACTGGCACCATCGTCGCACCTGGCACGCAATGGATAGGCTCTGAAGTCTCTGCCGCGATTTCTCTGGGTGTGAAGCGGTATGGTCTTGAGCATATCCCAGTCGTAGATGCCGTCCTTGGGGAAGCCAAGAGATTTGCGCAAAGTTTTGAACATTTTGCGCAGCATGACATAGTCGGGTTTCTCGTCGAACTGCAGACCCCGGGCATAGCTCAGATAGATGGAGAACTCGCTGGGGTAGCCGGCGCAGAGCTCCTCAATGGAGATGCTTATCTTCAGCTCCAAAATGCGTTCGTATTTCTGTCGCTTGTTGGCCGCCTTGAGGCCCTGCCAGGGCAGGCGACCGTGCAGAAAATAGATGAAGACATAGCCCAGCGATACGAGATCGTCGCGTCGCGACTGCTCCACACCCTGGTGGGCATATATGGAGGAGAAGCGTGCGGTGCCGGTCAGGCAACGGTTCTCGCGATATGGTATATGCACGCCAGTGGTGAGATCGCGATACTTCTTCGATAGCCCAAAATCGATGATATAGAGCGTCTTGCTCCGTCTGCCCACACCCATCAGGAAGTTATCCGGCTTGATGTCGCGATGTATGAAGCCTCGATTGTGCACATATTGGATGCGCTGCAGCATTTGGTCCACCAGCATCAGCACCGTCTTCATGGTGAAGAGGCGGACGCAGGCATTGAAGAGGACCTCCAAAGACGGCCCCAGCAGATCCATGACCATGGCTTGAAAGTGCTCCGACTTGTAAAAGTAGCGCACGTGCGGCACGCCCGGCGCCCTTCTCAGGCAGCGGTAAAGCCGTCGCTCGAAGCTCAACTGTGGATGACGTGCCTTGGTGCTCTCCACCTTGATGGCCACCTTGGCGCCGCTGTGCACGTAAACGCCCTCGTAAATGTCACCGAAAGATCCACCTCCAATCCTTCTCAGCACCCTGTAGTTGCCGATGCGCACCTCTCGCTGAACCCTCCTCGTTCTACGATCCATAGTTCGTCAGCCTCCTTTTAATCAGCCGGTGTGTCTCGGTTCTAAAAAGTGTTCAAAAATGTTAGCTAATAGATTTATTTTTATCGAAATGTTAAATTTTTATGCCAACATTCCGTCGACGAATGCACAGTAGACTTGATTCAAATTCAAGGGCGTACGCAGGGGGAGGGGCAAGGGCCCCACCTACAACAAATTTTGCCATATGAAGTCGACAACACGTTCCTTATTATGACGCACTATTTCGTCTTAAAATGGAACTGAGTTGGATTTGTTGAAGTTTTTTCATTGATCATATGCAAAAATTATTTTGTAAATCAATCAAAATTTTATTTTTTTGCCCCCCTTGGTAAAAGCTGCGTACGCCCTTGTTCACATTCTTGGTGTTCATCCATGTCCCATGATGAAGTTCATTACTTGACCGTATTATTTAGCTATTCTTAGCTATTGTTCAAATAGCAGCCGCGCATGTGCAGAGAACAGCGATCAACCGGCTGGCAGGTCTACGTCTATATGCCGATGCTGGATATGCACCCAGCAATATAGCGACGATACATTTTTTTAGACCTATTGTGACGCCTAGCCTATTCCTTATCTATGGTCTACTAGTGTTAATATTGCACATGGTTCTCCTTACTAGCTTTGAGATTACACATACACTGCCGCTCAACTGAATAGGTTCAACGATTCTCAAAAGTTCAAATTGTTATATCTTTTCAACCAAATCGTCGATTTTGATCAAATAAAATGTTGTGGGAAGAATAGTTTATTGTTAATAAAAAATAGCAAAGTTTGGGGGTTTGATTTAAGTTTCACATTTGACACTAACACAAATGTTGAATATAATTTCAAAGCACGGTAAACCGAATAAGTATAAAGGAACTGCTAGAGAATTAAACAAAACTATGATTTGTATAAAGGTGTTAGAATTGAAATCAATTAATAATATGGCTTAAAGAGAAATTACTTAATCAGAGCTTAAAAGCGTAACTATTTTTACTTAGGAAGATTTAGGAAGAAATAACACCGGATGTATTTCATGTTGTGAGTAAAATAATTCTGGATATACTTAAGTACTAAGTATTAGAATTGGTTAATTCTACTTAACATCTATTCTGATTACAAATCGAAGGGACTTTGAACAATTGAGAAATGGTATCCAAAATAGCTGGATGTAAGAAATAAGAAAGAACCGCCTCTCATTTAGCTTGAATACATTTGTAACGCAATAATTCCCGTGGCAGCTATATGATATAGTCAGCCGATTTTCATAATACCTTAGATAAAAAAGCAATACATAAATGCCAAAAAAGAAAACAAAACAGGGCTTTTCAATCGATCGTTTCATGGGTATACTATAGTCCACCGATATTGATGAAACCTTAGATTATGCACGTATTGATGCACAAAACTGATAATTATCAAATAAGCTTCCGATAACTTCATAAGCACTTGGATTGTTGTGTGCTTCAATTTTGATGAAACTCTAGAATATCACATTAAAGTATTAATAGCAAATCTGGTTTATACTTGTATATCAATTTCGCAAACATCATTATCATATTGAGAGTGATCGGACCTATGGCAGCTATATAAAATAATGATGTTATATAAAAGAAAACTCGCTCTGCATATGGTCTGCATATCAAGTTTTGTATTCCTAGCTAGCTTCATACGGACGAACATACAGGCGGACAGACAGAGGAAGATGTCTATATATCCTTCCACCTCTTACATTTACATTTTGCGTTTCGACTTTCTCGCCTGAAGAGGACATTGCAAATGGAAAAGGAAATCTTTAACGACAAAGCAGGGTGGGAGCACAAACTGGAATATTGGAAAGTTTTTAATCAACGCTGAAGCATAAACATTATTCCGTAAGATTTTGCAAGCTTTATTTTACTCGAGGAATGACCGTGCCAGCTCTACTGATATAGTAAAAAGGAACTAAATGGTTGTGAGAAGCCTCTCTCTGAACTGTAAAATTACCAAGACAGAGTGCTTAACAGTTTGAAGAGATTCCCTTTCTGTCTTTAAGAAGGTATGTTTGTACTCGTATGCTTTTAGAAAAAAGTGCGCGTGAGGAATTGAAGGATATTGTAAGTTACCAAACGCATTGGGTTGACATGGACAGCAGCGCTCCTTTATGCCTCGTCCTGCTCCCCACACCCAAACCCAAACCCACACCCACACCCCATTCATACATTGTCCGCACATGTGCTGGGCGTGTGGGGCTGTGCGTGTTTGCGGACTGTGCGTATCGATTATCTGGGCCATGCACGGCATCAGATGCCGGCAACCGTAGACAACCAAGACAACCAAGACGACGAGGACGACGACAACGACGTCGACGTCGACGGATCAACTAGCCAGTAATAATGTCTTTCGCTGACATTTGACATTTTGGCTATATTTCACTCAGTTTCTGACAACTGGCAAGTTGGCATTCAAATATAGCCGGCAGACGGGGCGCAGGCTCTTGCTTGGATTCTTATAGCACGAGTACAGGTTCGGGCTCGAGCTCGGGCTCGGTGACGGTCTCTGGCTTGGGCTGGGGTTGGGGCGCAGCCATTCATTCATTCATGCTCAGATATTTAAGAACAATAAATTTGCGTATGTGAGCATGTGTTTGTGTGTCTATGTGTGTGTGTCTATGTGTGTGTGTCTATGTGTGTGTGTCTATGTGTGTGTGTGTGTGTGTGCGTGTTTAAGCTAGACAGACTAAATGTTTGGCAGTCGTCTGCCGGCTCTCCCAAGCCCAATGACAAGACGGAAGCGAAAGCGACCGCCGAGTCCTGGTGGCCATTATCATCAGTGGCAGCAGCAGCAGCAACCGCTGAGTGGCTCGGAATTCTTGTCAGCCACTGCGGGCACGGGCTCGGGCACGGACACGGGCACGGGCACATGAGCAGCATTTACATCATAACACGGCCGGCTGATGGATAGACAGATAACCGGCGGCTGCGGCATTAGCATTAGCGATGGGGGTCTGAGTCTGATTCACCGCCAGAGATGGGTGCGTGACTAAAGGTCCTTATGCTGTAAATAATGCTCATTTATTGTGATTTTTGTACCCTGTGCCCGTAGGGTAAAAAGGGTATATTAGGTTTGTGCAAAGTATGTAACATGCAGAAGGAACAGGCATTATTGCATTTGTATATTTGAGGCTTTCTTCTCTTTTAAGTTGAAATTATAACGTAATATTATTTTTACATTTTTATTGTAATATAATTTATATTTTTTGTCATTTTTATCGACAGCACAAATTGCTGATTGGCTTTCAGTGTTTTCTCTTCTGGCTTCTATTTCACTTAATTCTAGAATTTCCGAAGCCTGATTATGTTTTTGGTATAATGCTTATCAAGCGTCGTCTGTATTTTTATTTTTGTAACCCTAGAGATAGTTACCCGTTCTTACCTTACAGCAATCGCAATGTGGACCCTATTAAGCAAATTATGCCTGAGTCATATGGACCTTTTGATTTAAAAGACGAACTCCTCAGAACTGGCAACTTATTGCCGAGAATATAGGCATTTCAGGCTGATCGCAGCTTCGTTTCAAGTGTTAATAATCGAAGTTCTACTACTTATTGTTTCATATAAATATGACACGCAGATTTCCACCGATATCAAGGATTTCTATTAATATTTGCTTCCAAATTTCAATCCGCAAAAATAATTTGACTTAATTTCGTGAAAATCGAAAAGCGCAAAAGGCCTTGTTCTACTCTCAGTGGAGGTTGATCTTTCTAATATATAATCTTTCTGCATTTGTTGAAATGAAAGACTCCATGAAATACTCTATTTTAAATACTTATTCTATCTTAATTCAATCACTTCACAATCACTGATCTTGATAGTTGACAGTTAGACTGTCTAAAGAGCTATAGATTCCATAATATGGAAAAGTATTGCTACAAGCGCTCTTAGCTTATGGAATCCGATTCAGTAAACGTTTATCAGCATTAATCACGTGTACGACACTCGCACATCCCTAGTCCTCTCTATATCTATGTATATCTACCTCTTCGTACGGATCTGGAGCTGGCTCTAGTTCTGCCTCTGCCTCTGCCTCTGCCTCTGTCCCTGTCCCTGTCCCGGGCAAAGGCAAATCTGCAGTCGACTGCGTCCACGTGCGTGAGTTGGGCGTAGTTGCGTTGATGTTGGAACATGCGGGTAAATTATCTTTTCATTTCCGTCAACGTCGTCTGCCATCCGTTCGTCCGTTCGTCTGTCCCTGCCATCCCTTCCTCGGTCCGTGCATCCGTTCTGTTGGCAATTGCCACGTACTCTTAGCTACAGCCTCAACGTAACCGAGGTCGACGTTGCCGCGTCATTCGATTGTTTGCTTTAAGCTTTTTAGCAATCACGTCGTCGTCGTCGTCGTCGCCGTCGCCGTCGTTGTCGCCAACGACGGCCGGGACACTATTCTGGGCAGATGACCAGGTGGTCTGTTCATGTGCCATGTCGCCAACTTAAGTCCAATGTCGAGTTTCATTAAAAATGCCGCGAAAGCCATTGGCAGCTCACGCAAAGTACCATAAAATGGCAAGCAAGTCGGTCGCTGTTGTGGGCATGTGGGGGGTGTGGGTTCGGGTGTGAGTGTGGGTGTGGGTGTGGACTGAGGGTGGTCGAGCTGGTCGGGCTGGTCGAGCTGGTCGAGCTGGTCAGGGTCGGATGTGGCTGATGAGGCCTTTGCGGCTGATGCGGCACGTGGACAACTGTTAAAAGCAGCTTAAATCGAGTTTCGTTTCGCTAATTGTTTCATCAAATTATATAAGTTGCATACAAACATACACACACACACACACACACACACACACACACACACACACACACACACACACACACACACACACACATAAATCCATGCACACACTCACAGTTGAGAGGCAATGCGATTGCATAAATGCGATTCTGTGCGTGTGTATTTTGAAATAAAAAAAACTTTAATGAAATTTCAAGTTAATTATGAAAAATGTGAGCCACGAGTAGTTAACAGAATCGTCCTTTACAAAAATCGATATCGATACCGATTTTAATTAACTATGAAGCTGTGTGCAAGCAGAGGATGTGCCGAACAAGAAAATCTACTGAAAAAAGTCAATTTGATTAACCTTTCAATTAGAATTCCATTCAGCTAGTGGCAGCGCTGACTTAATTAACACAGCGCCACAGCCACAACCACAGCCAGAGCCAGAGGCCAACCAATGCGAATCAACAAGAGCCGCAAATCTCGGAGATGGGTTGAATTCAGAAATTAAATTATTAAAAAGTACTTATTTATAGCTTTTAAGCTTTATGTTGTTATCGATATCGTTACAACAGCTACCTAGCTCTCTCTCTCTCTCTCTCTCTCTCTCTCTCTCTCTCTCTATATATATATCTGGAAAAGACAAACCATTTATTAAGGGATATACAAAAAAAAAAAGACTGAACTAATAGTGAAAATCCGGCATGATATCAAGCCTATTTGTTCTATTGGCATTATTTATGCAAAACTAATTGAAAACAGTGCTGCCACACCGTCTCAGAGTTGCCCAACAACTGCGAATCATTCTAGGCTTTGCTTTCTCGCTTCTGTCATTTGAAAGGAAGGAGGTCGCCTCGAGATCAGTCGCCCAGTCAACAGCGTCTCATATTTTTATTTAAAATTATACATTTTTTAATTATTATAATTTTAATGTTTTTTA